ATGATTTGAATAGGTTAAAATAGGATCAGCTAATAACCAATGATCTCTAATAACGCATCAAACCAATAGGCTCTAAAATTCCACTACTTTAGGAATTACTGAAAATTCACAAGGCCAGTCTACCCCTTAGTCGGATTCTAGACATGTCTGAGTCTCCTTAACATCTAATCGCTAAATAGCTAGCCAAAATCCTAGAGCCTATGGAAAGACAAAATCGTCTTCCACTCCCTACATGATACTTTTGAATTTATTGATTGTATAAGAAAGGAAGACGTATCTAATAAATGTATAATATCACTTGATATCAAGTCACTTTTCACCAATGTTCCACTTACAGAAACTATCTTATTCTTATACAGATATACAGAGAAGATAATAACATAAATGTTGGGATACCGACTCCCAGCCTTAAGGAATTATTACTTAGATGCATACTCAACGTTCAGTTGGCATTTAACGACGTGATTTATAGACAGAAAAATGGGATCTCGACTGGGTCCACTACTAGCAGATCGTTTTATGACCAGTTTGGATAACGGATCCTTGAAATCAACGACTGAAGGTTTTCAACTCTAAAAAGGGTACGTGGACGATACTTTTATTATCTGTAATCATCAGTATGATTTGAATCATATTCTACAAAAATTCAATAGCTGCAATTCAGCAATTAGATTCACTCTTGAGGTCAAAAATCGATCGAAACTTCACCTTCTTGATGTAAGAGCTGACAAGAATAGCTGATGGGACGTTACGTAGATCAATCCACAGAAAACCAATGTGAAATGGTCAACTGACGAACTTGCCTGCCGAGTTCCAATGAATCGTAAGCGAAAACTGATCGTATCTCTTGCCACTCGCATTACACGAATGTGTGGTCCCAACGAGTTAGAAGAGGAAATTTTAGTTCTAAAGAACATCCTGATTGAAAATGGATTTCCACGACGCTTCATAGACAAACAGACACGTCAAGTCTAAGCCTCGCACACAGGACCTTATCACCGTGCCAAAAAAGATACTCTATATGAATCTCAACTTCGAAAGTGATTCTGCCGCTGACACTCAAACCCTCCAAGGAGGACATTCTTTGCCTCAACACTAAGACTAGTATTCTCTTGTCACCCAACGATATCTAACAACTCAAAGGAGAAACTTTCGCATCTAACCACTTCTATGTGCATATATATCAATTCGCCCACTCTTATGGAGCCAGGTATATAGGTCGTCCAATGCGACTGTTATCCAAAAGGTTTCAAGAGCACTATCCCGCGTGGTTACAAAGAAGTAACAATGGAGCGATAAGGAGTGCTATAATTGAACACGAATCACCCTACCTGAAGAACCTCCCCCTTCAAAGTCTTCTTTAAAGTGAAAAGAAACCTTCCACAGACTGTATATCTTCGTATTCACCGCATTACGGAAGCTCTTGCCATCCATATGGAGAAACCTGAAGTGTGTACGCAAAAGATTATTCAACCCTTTCTTCCTTTCATGATCTCAGTTCTCAGTCTCCTCTATCCCCCTTTATCTTTTCATTTTTCTATTTTGGCACTACTCGAGGGATTTTCTTCTCATTCTTGTTGCTATGTTGTGCCTGATCACAATTTAGTTTCCAATTACGTCGTCATGTTACGAAACTTCTTGTCTAAACTTATCTTGATTAATATTCATCACTCAGTTTTTGATCATGCATGTACTTGTCACAGGTATTGATATGAAAGGTTATGAAGAGATAAGAGGTGAGAATATGGAAAGGAAAGGCTAAAATAGCAAAGAAAATCAACGAAGCAAAACCTAATTGTACATCAACCTTGTTTTCGACGTCGAATCCATCAAGGAATTGTTTCTGAAAGTATGAGATGATCTAAACTTCGGAATACCTAAGACTTCAAGAGATTTGAGAATGTGGGCAATACTTTCTTCTACCCATTACTATTTGTCCATTGGGTTCCTAATGGAACATAGGGCTTCAGTAGCACGTCTCCATTCCACTCTGTTCTATGAAATCTTTTGAACCTGGTTCCATGACAGCCCAGAAGCTCTCATTCCTTCCTCGCATGATCTCCTCCATGTCACCCTCGGCACCGACGCCCAACTCGTCGCTTCCCATCTGGGTTCGACTCGAGGGCCTGACGCGTGATTTTCCCAGTCGGCCTTCTCACTGTATGCCCAATCCATCTCCACTTCCTTCTGCATACTTGTTCAGCGATAGGTTCTTCGCCAGGCCAGAGTTCCTTGTTGCTTATTCTTTCTGGCCATCTGATCTTCAGTAACGAGCGTAGGCAGTTGTTGATGAATGTTTGTAGTTTGTTGGAAATCCCTTTCGTAGCGCGCCAAGTCTCAACCCATACACAAATCAATCATCTCTTATAACAAAATCGAACGCTAATCGTGTTGACCATTGAAATTAAATTGACTAAACTTTTCAGAATTAAGTACAGATGAAAAGCTAAGAAGACCAGAAATATGCTGTCTTAGTAATAAGTATGGATGGGGCAAACGGTGGAATCCAGGACTCATGTCTCGTTTTACTAGGTACTCGACAGTCGGATTTATTTGCATCCCAATAAGTGGTGTTCCCACCGACACTCTAACCCAACAATTGTCGCGCCAAACTGCTTAGTTGCAACAGTTACTCCTTGCACTTTGAGTATGGTTAGGTGTTAAAGCCTATGGATTCTCATCTTTGATTAGATCAAATTGATTCGACAAACAAAGCTTAATTTATCACCTGAGTTATTATTTTTTGAAACTGTTACTATATCGCATGATTTCGTGATAGTATGTACACCTGTGGTTGAACTCTTCTTTCGATTTTTTGTATGTTGCTGAAATGCAACATTATACATTCAGGTAGAGATTTACGTTCCAGTAACCTAATCGACAATCTTTTACATGTGTTTCTGACATTACAGTCATTCCATAGAATTCAGTAGATCAAGCTTTTTCTTCCAATAAGATTCTGCGGTCGATAAAGTTTGTCTCAGTGCGGCTTTGTCAGTTTAAGCTCCACTCTGATCCCGGTCCTACTGAGAATCTTATGTAGACCTTTTGATAACCTGTCTTATTTAAAGGGTCTTTTAAGTATTCCTTATGCTAATTTGGTTGTTTGTGGTTAGCAGAAGAATCCAGGACGCGCGTTTGCCCATATGCAAATAGAGGTCGAACAATTCGACCCAACAAAACAACGGAGAATAACAAGTATGTCAATAAATAGTAATATTCTTCATCGTGTTATTATTACTGCCGTTTGTCTCTGTAACTGCATTACTACTACTTCTTATGGGGTAATTCTGGATAAACTAACCAAGAGTAATTGGTGAGTACTTTCATGATATAAAATTCCTGACTTAATATTCAGTTTTCGTGCCCCGCTACTCATGTATTTAACCAAGTCTGACTTAACTGGTACACCACAGGATGATCTGAAGTTACAGTATCTACTAGGAACGTAAAGGCTTCCAGTAGATGATAGTAGTGAGATCAACCTTATTCAATTAAAACTCACTGATATGCAATTTTACAGAAACAATGATTTACATCATCCATTATTGAACTCGATAATATCCAATATATTTTTCTCGTTCATTTTCAGATCTGATAGTTGAACTGGTGCACAAAGATTCTCATCGGTATTCTCACTTATCTGTCTACAGTTGCTTCTTGAAAGGTCAGATACACGTTCTCTTCTCTAGTAGTCCGTCGAGTGAATTTGATATGAACAAGTGGAAAAACACACGACCTAATGTCTAAATAAACTTCTCAAAAGGTGAAACCCATAGGAACACTGGACTCCTCAGCAGTGCGCCTCCCAGAGATCGAAACCAACACCTTCAGGTCTCACGGCCAGCACGTTACCACTGGGTCAGGGTTCAATCTAGTCTATATTTCCTTGCGGCTGTCAGTCCGTGATACAGCGCGACCTCCACCCAATGCTGTCGTTCACTAACAGTCCTCACGTTCGACTTGGTTTATCCTACCGGTCACGATTTCTCATAAGGACTTCGGGAGTCTCATTTCGAAACACGTCAATAGTGAGCACAAGAAAGTAATTCAATCTGAAAATTTGTGAAGGATTATTAATTTCAGGTCGGCAATTATCACGGACTGACACCAGTAGTGGAATCCTAAAGCCTAAGATCAACTGTTTCCATTCATAAGTGATAACACGCATACAGTTTAGACTAAGAGTTTCTCCTTGATTACTTGCAAATGATAAAAAACCAAGTAGCAATTTTAAAGAAAATCCCAATTTTAACAAAGAAACAAAAAGCATGGAAAAGTGAACACAGATTTCACGTGAGTAACACAGAAGTCACACGTAGAGTCTTAGGGAGAAGAAGTTGTGAACATTCACCGACTGAGATGGCTGGTTGAGACACGTGTCACGTAAGCCAAATCGCCGACTACCTCGTCACACAATATTGGACAAAGTAGGTTCAGGCTAGGAAAAGACTAAAGGCGGCCACACTAAAAACATGGCATCAATCTATGAAGTCTTTCACTGTTCGTTTCAGCCATGTAACGGGGCGATGCACATTAGCCGGTTGAGTTCCGTAGGACAAGGCAAACCAGTGGTTGCAGACTGACTCTACGTGATATGCTTCACAACCAGTTTCAGTGGTGCAGATGTATAGAAATATTATAATCATTTTAACGCCATACCGAATCTCACCATTTTCTCATTCTTCATTTCTCTACCCCAGTGTACTTCAAATTTATTTTGACTGAATTCACTTTTCTTCATCTTCCACTTCACTGCCTCTTTACTTGGTGTACTGATATGAGCTGTGGCAACTCGGACCGTTACGCAGTAATGCCTGGTCCTATGTTGTTTTGGATGGATTTTACACTGATAAACAAAAACTATAGATTATTTAACATCTATTTACAGCATAGTGTGAAATACAAGCTTTCATACGAAATTTTGAATGGTTATCGATGAACAAAATAGTACACTTCGTTCAATTTACAGTCAGATTCAAATCTTTGCATATTTTTTTTCAAGGTCTGAGTAGATCTCTTGAAGCCATACGACTAAATACACTTTCAAGCAAAGACTTTTGAGGATCTTCTGATTGATTGATCATATTTCTTTCAACACTTGTTATTCCGTATTCATGACAAACTGCATCAATGTTCATAGCTAATTTCTTCGACATATCGATACTCATAGTACCTTGAACAATCTTTGAGATTTGAGATAAGTAATCTTGTAAAACAATATCATTTGAATTATAAGCATCTGTTGAATGAAGGACACCAACGATTAACTGTTTCGTGGAAGGTTGAATTCCAAATGTATCCATAGCATGTTTTATCGATCGATTTGGACTTAGACAATACAAAATCTCTGTAGTCAACTCTCGTGTATGCATACCACCTGAAGTTTTATCAATGTAATAAATTAAAGCTTGAGTAACAGCAGCTTCTATCTACAGATATAATAAATAATTTAACAATAGTCATCAATCAGCAGAGTGTATACAAATTGTTCTACATATATCAAAGCATAATTTAACGCTATGAAAAGTGAATCTTTTTCAGTTTCTTTAAAATATAAACTTTAAAACAAATACAGAATGATGATTATGATAGATAAAGCCAACTGATTTATATAACCATCCATAAAATACACTTTTTACACAATTTCATCAGTTGAAGTGAACAGTTAATTTAGTATTGTCGGGCTAAGAAAATCCATGGTCTTCTGAATGATCAAAGCGATAATTTGAATATATTTCGCACTTGTGAAATGTAAAGTGATACTTAAGAACTTCTTTACATTGACTTCCAGTACAGGGTAGAATGAGCTGACGAATACATTTACTTAGGTAAGGACATCACCATGAAACTTCAGCTTGTATATAAAGTGTCTCGCTAGAATTTATCATTTTGTATCATCAATTATACTGACAAGATATTTGAATATTCGTTAAAAACCGAATAAGCTGAACAATATTCCTTTCTGTTCTCTTTTATGATTGTGCTACGGTCTTTGAAAGTAGAAGACATAAGGAGATGTCAAATAATTTTGAACACAGAAATAACTGCATTACAAATAGCTGAAACTGTAATATCAGCAATGACTGACTTATGTGTTTGATACAAAGTGAGGCATGTTAATGTAGAAGATTGCGAATCTTTGTTGATTGACATAGCTGCAACTTGCACTGCGTATATACTAAACCAACGTCTACCTTAATGTGCGATGGAAGGCAGAGTAAGAATAATTTTAAAAGAGGTTAACTATTAACTTGGGTCATGTAGGCCTCCAAATACCCTGGTACGGTTAGTGTGGAACGAAAGATAGTCATAAAAATGAGCATTCATAGCCATCCGTATGAGATAGGCCCCCCAACACTTGAAGAAGTCGAGAAAGCTGTAGGTAACTTGAAACGAGGAAGGGCAGCAGGATCAGACTAACTCCTGAGGTATACACGGATGGTGGTAGAGTGCTCTTTCTTAGTCAGGTTAACGGAAGCGTTAACTAGTATATGGGAATCAAATACGATCCCTTCTGACTGCTCTAAATCACTAATTAGTCCAGTCTTCAAGAAAGGCGAGAAGTCCTCTTGTGATAACCACCACAGAAGAACCAGCCTGACGAACATAGTGTCCAAGATCCTAGGTTCTATAATTCTTCGACACCTGAGTAGAGCTCGGGAACAGTAAGTCCGAGAAAACCAGACAGGCTTTAGACCCGGACGCGGGTGTATCGACCAAATATTCACACTGCGCCAGGTTATGGAACACAGACACACTTACCGACAATAGCTGTATTTCTCAACCTGAAGGCGGCATTCGACTCCGTTGGTCGAGAAGTCTTATGGCAATCTCTCTCACTGAAAGGCGTGCCGAGTAAGTACATCACCTCATTGAAGGCCCTCTCTCTCTCTTTCTCGAACACTTGTGGACATGTTAGAGCTTATGATGAGATATCAGGGGAGCTGTACCCGTCGAGCGGCGTCTCTCAAGGATGTCCACTCTCTCCACTCTTATTCAATTTTATCATAGATATTCTTATAGTGGTCTCCCTCTCGTCACCTAACTACAAAGGTTGACCTAATCGCAGGAGAATTTTCATCAGACCAAGAATATGCAGATGACATAGTCCTGTTAGGTGAAGACGCTGACAAGATGCAGAGTCTTCTGAACACTTTGAGTGGCAATTTGAAAATGTTTGGGATGCGTTTCTCACCACTCAAATGCAAATTGTTGCTCCAGGATTGGTCTTAAACGGTGCCGCGACTAGCAATAGAGAGTGTACTAGTTGAGTGTGTCGACCACTTCACTTACATGGGAAGGGGGATCAGCACTGCTCTGTTGGTTCAATGGAGGATGAAACCTCTGCACGAATACAAAAGGCTCGGTCAGCTTTTGTCAATTACGCCACCTGTGATATCCAATTGTCTATTACGAGTGACACGTACTGCATAGCAGTCCGCTCTGTTATACTGTAAGTTTGTGAAGCATGGCCATTGAAGGTGGAAGACATGAGGTTTCAGGCGTTTGACCACCGTTGTCTTCGTAGTATAAGCCGTATTCCGTGGTGTCACCACGTAACGCAGAAGCCAGACGTAGAGTCTTAGGGAGAAGAGGTTGTGAACATTCACCGACTGAGATGGCTGGTTGAGACACGTGTCACGTAAGCCAAATCGCCGACTACCTCGTCACACAATATTGGACAAAGTAGGTTCAGGCTAGGAAAAGACTAAAGGCGGCCACACTAAAAACATGGCATCAATCTATGAAGTCTTTCACTGTTCGTTTCAGCCATGTAACGGGGCGATGCACATTAGCCGGTTGAGTTCCGTAGGACAAGGCAAACCAGTGGTTGCAGACTGACTCTACGTGATATGCTTCACAACCAGTTTCAGTGGTGCAGATGTATAGAAATATTATAATCATTTTAACGCCATACCGAATCTCACCATTTTCTCATTCTTCATTTCTCTACCCCAGTGTACTTCAAATTTATTTTGACTGAATTCACTTTTCTTCATCTTCCACTTCACTGCCTCTTTACTTGGTGTACTGATATGAGCTGTGGCAACTCGGACCGTTACGCAGTAATGCCTGGTCCTATGTTGTTTTGGATGATGGCATTTATAGCCGCTGGTGGTGAAGTTCTATTTCCTGCTGGCGTGCAACTAGGATTAATTCCGCAAAAGTAAAAATGTGACAGTGGCCCTATAACCACATTGGTGTACACAGAAGGTAAATTAAGGGCTAGTAGGGGAACTCTGGTCCCAAACCAAAGATCCACATGGGTTTCACGACCCAAAATGGATAAATGGTATATGAATCTATTTTGGTCACCTGCAACAATGGAAATGCAGTAACCTATCGATGCTCTGTCTTGGGGATCAGGCATAAGAGCGGAGGTTAGGGAGGGATGATAGTCTCAGAAGACAATCATCTGCTTTCGTTTGGGCAGTACAGCAGCCCACATATTAACCGTGAATCCACCTTAACAATGAAGACTATAAGCTTTCACCGAATATTTCCTCAATGAACAAAAATCGCTGAGTAGCGAACTTTCTATTTAATCATTCCATTTGCCCTTGTTCCTATTCTGCATTGGTAATGTAATCTGATAAAACCAATTTGAAAGCCCATGTACCGTTTGGGTGGGTTGCCTTATTTACAGATTGGCCAACGAATAGGTTTGATCAAAACTCTAGAAACTCTCACTGCTGATATGTGCTTCCTTTTGGAGACTTACACACACATTGTCGGTGAACTGCTTTGAATAACTTCTCCATTTTTCAACTCAAAAAGTGTATTCACAAGACGCATATTCGGGGGACATGTAGCATTAGCAAACGGCCTTGCTGGTGTTTAGTACCTCAGTATCAGACTTGAAGATACACTATTCGGCTGGAACTCCCTCAACAATCGTCTGTGAGCTATTAGACGATTATAGTGAGAAAAGAGAAATGACGTCTCTTCACCATCTCTGTCTAAGCCTTAACTGATTGCAACTCGGATAAAGTTAAGTATGAGTTCTATCGCCAATTGAACGACCTTTCATATCATGTGTGCTTGATAGATATCGTAGTTCTAACTGGACACTTGGATGCACGCATCAGACAGATAGATCTACAGGGAGGTCCTTTACGTGACCAATGAAGATGAGTAGGTCACAGGTCAGATAACAAGGAATATCTTCTTCAGCTACGCGCAGATCACAACCTGTTCCTAGCAAGCATTAACTTGCTGCAAATCCAACAACATTTAGCCATCTGGCCTTCTTTTTTCGCTAAAACCTGATCACAAATATATCATATTGTAGTCAAGTATCGATCATATGAGTACATTCAAGGCTACTGAAGTACCTGTCTGAACTATAGTCATTCTTTAGTGCGCGTTTTGGTGGTCATCAAAATCTTCATCGGAAACGCATCAACGTAGGAAAGCTGGTTTTACTTAGGATTGTAACTAAGTATCAAACCGAGCTAAATTGAAGGCTAACTTTCGAGTTCCAGAGAGTACAGATGAGGATTGAATGCAATTACAAGACGCCGTTAAAACGGTGAGCTAAACTACTTATGGTTTCAAAGTAAAACCTGTCAATTAACACTGGGAATTTGCATGCTACTTCCTGACGCTGTGTATTCCGGCAGGCAGCGTGTACAATAATGTGTGAAAATTCCATAACCGACAAATTAAACAGCATTTTCGTAAGAGCTGTAAGGCCTAGTGACCAGGAAGCGCTTGCTAAATAGAAGTAGCAGTTGCATCTGACCATCGAAGCTTTTTCAGCTCATCTTAATAACTGAGAGCAAGAATCTTGGCGTCAGTCACACGGTCTGTGAAGCTGATGGTACACAGATGCAAAACCTTTTTTGACGCATGAAACGGTAGGTGGCGAAATTCAAAATGCAAATCAATTAGCCTACTGCCCATACAACACCAACCTTAATGTCTTGTGCTCGATGGTCGGTTAACACCGATCCACTGAACGAGACGGAGGTCCGCAAGGAACCCTAAGTACTAAAGTTCCATAATGCACCCAACCGAACTAAACGATTTATGACCCTTTGAGGATGCAGATGAGATGCAGTCACGGAACTGACTACACTGTTTGATAGGTTATGGCAGACTGACTGTTCCATCGCCGTAGATGAAATCCATTGTTTTGGAGATCTTTAAAAAGGGTCTACATGAAGTAATCGATAATCCTCGAGGTATCGTTCTGTTATCAGAAGCGTCGAGAATACTGATCGCTATCATACTTTATAAGGCTCTGCAAACGTGTGAGAAACTGATCCGTGAAGATCGGGTCGCGTTTCTTTCATGCCACGGATGCATTGACGACTTGCTCAACTTCCGGGAGATGCTCGAACAGTGTCTCAGACATGTTGCAGACCAACTATCGTTTTATTCCTCAATATTAGGACTATCTTAGAGTTGTTAGAAGCATATGTAATCTGACGTTGTTCGTTGAAGAGGCATGCTCCGTTTTGTTTGATTTACTAGACATATCATACAGTGAAACAGTAGTAGACTTACTAATTCTTATGACTTGAATCATAGATTAGATGGTATACTGAGAAAACAGTTTAAAAAAATGGTTAGTTTTGATGCATCCCGTTTTTATACAAATGAGCTCAATAATGACTATGAGCTTACACTATGAACTAAGGTTTTGGTAGGGATCATGTTAGAAGTACAGCTACACCTAACTTCAACAATCCTCAAACTTCACAACAAAATATACAGACAAGTAGAAGGAGTTGCCATGGTATCACCAACAAACCTTCTTGTGTTGGACATATTTATGGATAGTTGGAAACAGGAGCTTGTCAAAACAGTTAGTCCTTCTCCAAAAGTTTGGTTTCGATGTGCAGATAACACGCTAACAGTATTGAAATGAAAACATGCAGATAGTTTCTTTACACATATGAATTCACTAGACAACTCAATCCAATTTACTTATGACTTAGAAAGTGCTGAAAGGGCCAAAAAACTCACTAGTAAGACAGCAGACCTTAAAGACACTTTACTTATCAATAATTACCCTCCTAAATTAATTAGTAAATCCCATAATAATCGTAAGAGAGACATGACTAATGGTTGTAACACGGGTCTTAGTAATAATAATAATAGTGGCAATACTTTGAAAAGAGAATTCAAGACCTCTACAGTACTACAATACAAAGAAGGCACCTCAGAAACACTACGTAGGATTCCCAATACAGTTGGGATTAGAGTGGCATTTCGAACTGCTAACTCATTTAGAAATACGCTTTGTAGGTTAAAAGACCCTATTGATTCAATAGGGTAGAGTAATTTAGTTCATCGACTCATTTGCAACAATTCCGAGGTCAAATACATTGGTCAACGTAGCAAACCAGACTCAGTCTACCTAAAACAGTCCTGAAAGTGTAGTGGTAGTGTAAGCTCCTTAAAAAGTGAAAGACTTTAGGACCTCGAGAATGCAAACGACACTGTTTTACTAAGCAAAAATAAACAGGCTGCTTAAATCCCACTCAGTCATTTATTAATCAGTGTCCGTGGGTATAATACGTGCTTTGAGTTGTTAAAATGCTTTTACAAAATTGTTAGGCGCTTGTAACTACATTTACTCTTGGTGGTAAGGCTCTGGAAGTTGTTGGAAAGGCTGATTCTAGGTAGTCATGTAAATGTTGATGGAGTCGTAACTGATGAGATATTCAACCATATAGCGGAATGCAAAGCGGCGTACACCAATGTGTATCACCGTTGGCTTAAACGTGACGTTTACCTTGCTGAGTTAATTCATCTATACAACGCATCGGTAAAAACAGTTCAATTCCGTGAAGTCTGATTACGTAGAGTTGAGAAAGTCTGACAACTCTGTGGTTTCCATTGTTTCCGCAAGGCCACTCGCACCCGATAGAAGCATTATGTAAGCAATTCTCAGATGAGTAGCGTTGAATTTGAGTGTGATGGTGATCGTCATTCATTGAATGGGGTCACCTTGAAATATCGATTTCAGTGACTTGGACACGTGTTAGGTACGCAGTCAAGGCGGTTACCACATTATTCGATTTTTGCTTGCTTTAAACGTAGGAAGAAACGAAGAGGTGTTCAGACTATGATGATGTACCGCCATAGGTGACTAACGTCTCCCCGGATGGAGTTCGAGAGACCATGCAAATGCAATATGAAGCGATAGCAGACATGACTCAGAATATAAACCAGTGGAGAATATACTGCAGTTTTCTTGCTCCTTTTGTTATCGAAAAGTAAAACAAGCATAGCGACTGTTTCATGAAATGGACATATTAAACTAATTCTCCAACCAATGTGTCGTTGTCCCCGTTCTTTTTTCCATTCTTTGAGTCTTCTTAGAACTGCTATATTATGTTGTTGTTGTTGTTGTTACCAAAACGATGACAACCAGGGTTATCAGCCGAGGATGCATGTGGTCACCATTCCTCCTTAACTTCCTTCTGGTTGAACAGATGAACATGAAAATAGGTACCTCCAGAGAGATTGACTTACGTATCGGAAGGTATATGGCTGACTTGAAGTGTACAGACGAAGACACTGACAAAACGCAGTTCCTCTTAAGAGCCATGCAAATAAGTCTAAGTAGATTTGGCATGCGCTTCAAACCTGTCAAACGTAAGATGATGCTCCAAAACTGGTTCCCAGTGACTCCCAGTAGCAGAAAAAATAGCGAAAAAGAAGGTAACCTTAACTACCTTCATCACTCAGTTTCATCAACTTCTACAAGCATGACTCCAAAAATAAGCAAATTTTGTAAGCATAAGATAGATATATCGTAAAATAAACAAACCTGAGAAATATTCACGAGAGCTTTGCAGTCGATAAACACCGTATAAGCATTCAGTATACAAGGAAAATCTTTACTAAGTATTTGCATCTGTATATTTTCCGCATTAGAGACACTATCCCAACAACAGTACTGAAGCTTATAGGAACAACCAACATTAAAAATCATAGTGCGCCAAAAACGATCCATCACAAGCTGAAAAAGTAAGAAGTGAAACAACATTTACCCATTCAAATGGGAAAAACAAATACCAACAACTGCAAGAATAAAAAACCAGCCAAACGAATGAAAACTAAAACTAGAGAGAAGAAAACAACTCAAACTTCAATAGCAAAGAGCAACAATGCACAGATTGCGCCCAAAAACAACAAGTATAAAAAAAACGCGAAAGACAATATCCTAACAAAAAGGAAAACAATATAACGAGATAAAGAGTACAAAACATTAGGAAAAACCGATAAAAAGTTAGTCGCTCGTCCCCCTAAAAGCCTACCACATTCGTCTAGTCCACCAAAATCAAAAAACATACGTCAAACAATAAATCAGAAACCGCAAATAACCACGACGATCTAACAACACACACGAAAAATGTAATAACAGCAGGCACACAAACCGCAAAACATGTTCACATAGTCCTCATACGCGGCATCGAAATCACAAAATAACACGCTGGAATAAAAGAAACAAAAAACCAAAACAGCGACAAACCACCCAGAAATATACGAAAAAGCATACATTCCAAACGCCAGAAAAAAAAAGGGAAGACAAATGAAATAAAGACAAAAACATACACAAGAGAAAAGCTTTGAAAACAACCAACAACAAACAGCAACAACATCAGGAATAGAGCATCACGAGACCAACAAAAATATAAATAAAGAGCACAAACAAACCTTCAAACAATAACACAGCATCTCCATCGCTGTGAAATCAAATACCATGGACGCCCGAACAAAAAAACATCACAACAAACTATCCCACTCAACCAAATTCTAGATCCATAACATACACAATCACAATCTACTCATACGTCACCACCAACATCTCTATCTATCACTCCATACCACCAAAATTACTCCAAGGCACAAACAACACCGACATTCATCATCATCGCCAACACACACCACACCACACCACACCACACCACACCACATCATCAAATATCTACTAACACCAGCAACACACATCCCACACTGTGAAAAAACCATCAATCCTACAGCCCACACTAACTCACTCCATACTCTATCACATACAATAAGCAAACAACAACACACAATCACTCACACAGACACAAAACATACTCGCAACAACGCACATATCACTCACTCACTCACTCACTCACTCACTCACTCACTCACTCACTCACTCACTCACTCACAAACAAAACAAATCTCATCAAATCAAAACAGTGATACTCAGTCAATGGACACCACCGTCTGTGCAACAACAGTGGAATACTCAATCTTGCACTACCCAGTTTAGACAGAGACAAACGATCATCTCGACCTCCGGGGTGTGCTCACTACCAACCAGAAACAACAGTTACAACTCTACATCCATCTCTACTCCACAAAACTCATCACACACACACACACACACACACTACACTATACCAAAATTACCATATGTACCGTATCCACAATGCGAAACGCCAGTCGCTTCAACGGTCATCTATCTCATTCATCTAGTCCATCAGCGAATCCCACAAAACAGTCATTGTGGGCATTAGATCATAAACATCACCACACAATGACAAAATACATCCAACAAAAACTACACACCCCTACACACAAACACACACACTCACTCACTCACTGTCTTCTTCGGTGTCAAACCATTTACTTCGACGCCAATCACTATAGTCCATACGCGAATACCATAGATCAATCGCTGACACTATGGACGTCTGGATGGACAAACATCACAACAAACTATCCCACTCAACCAAATTCTAGATCCATAACATACACAATCACAATCTACTCATACGTCACCACCAACATCTCTATCTATCACTCCATACCACCAAAATTACTCCAAGGCACAAACAACACCGACATTCATCATCATCGCCAACACACACACCACACCACACCACATCATCAAATATTCACTAACACCAGCAACACACATCCCACACTAACTCACTCCATACTCTATCACATACAATAAGCAAACAACAACACACAATCACTCACACAGACACAAAACATACTCGCAACAACGCACATATCACTCACTCACTCACTCACTCACTCACAAACAAAACAAAACAAAACAAATCTCATCAAATCAAAACAGTGATACTCAGTCAATGGACACCACCGTCTGTGCAACAACAGTGGAATACTCAATCTTGCACTACCCAGTTTAGACAGAGACAAACGATCATCTCGACCTCCGGGGTGTGCTCACTACCAACCAGAAACAACAGTTACAACTCTACATCCATCTCTACTCCACAAAACTCATCACACACACACACACACACACACACACAAAACCAATACTCTCAACATATACACACATATTCGCGTATATCCACTGAATGGTTCGTTCACATCTCCAACACGTACCCCCCTTACACCACATGCATAACCCTGCATATCCTCACACAAGACAAAGCGCTATTAAACACACAATAGGCAACCTCATCAACTCCCAACAAAAGTCACCTACCTACAAACACTTCGACGCACATCATCACTACACCCACACATACACGCACACAACTACAATCCAAAACCAAAACCAAAAACAACACACACACTACACTATACCAAAATTACCATATGTACCGTATCCACAATGCGAAACGCCAGTCGCTTCAACGGTCATCTATCTCATTCATCTAGTCCATCAGCGAATCCCACAAAACAGTCATTGTGGGCATTAGATCATGGACATCACCACACAATGACAAAATACATCCAACAAAAACTACACACCCCTACACACAAACACACACACTCACTCACTCACTGTCTTCTTCGGTGTCAAACCATTTACTTCGACGCCAATCACTATAGTCCATACGCGAATACCATAGATCAATCGCTGACACTATGGACGTCTGGATGGACAAACATCACAACAAACTATCCCACTCAACCAAATTCTAGATCCATAACATACACAATCACAATCTACTCATACGTCACCACCAACATCTCTATCTATCACTCCATACCACCAAAATTACTCCAAGGCACAAACAACACCGACATTCATCATCATCGCCAACACACACCACACCACACACCACACCACACCACATCATCAAATATCTACTAACACCAGCAACACACATCCCACACTGTGAAAAAACCATCAATCCTACAGCCCACACTAACTCACTCCATACTCTATCACATACAATAAGCAAACAACAACACACAATCACTCACACAGACACAAAACATACTCGCAACAACGCACATATCACTCACTCACTCACAAACAAAACAAAACAAATCTCATCAAATCAAAACAGTGATACTCAGTCAATGGACACCACCGTCTGTGCAACAACAGTGGAATACTCAATCTTGCACTACCCAGTTTAGACAGAGACAAACGATCATCTCGACCTCCGGGGTGTGCTCACTACCAACCAGAAACAACAGTTACAACTCTACATCCATCTCTACTCCACAAAACTCATCACACACACACACACACACACACAAAACCAATACTCTCAACATATACACACATATTCGCGTATATCCACTGAATGGTTCGTTCACATCTCCAACACGTACCCCCCTTACACCACATGCATAACCCTGCATATCCTCACACAAGACAAAGCGCTATTAAACACACAATAGGCAACCTCATCAACTCCCAACAAAAGTCACCTACCTACAAACACTTCGACGCACATCATCACTACACCCACACATACACGCACACAACTACAATCCAAAACCAAAACCAAAAACAACACACACACACACACACTACACTATACCAAAATTACCATATGTACCGTATCCACAATGCGAAACGCCAGTCGCTTCAACGGTCATCTATCTCATTCATCTAGTCCATCAGCGAATCCCACAAAACAGTCATTGTGGGCATTAGATCATGGACATCACCACACAATGACAAAATACATCCAACAAAAACTACACACCCCTACACACAAACACACACACTCACTCACTCACTGTCTTCTTCGGTGTCAAACCATTTACTTCGACGCCAATCACTATAGTCCATACGCGAATACCATAGATCAATCGCTGACACTATGGACGTCTGGATGGACAAACATCACAACAAACTATCCCACTCAACCAAATTCTAGATCCATAACATACACAATCACAATCTACTCATACGTCACCACCAACATCTCTATCTATCACTCCATACCACCAAAATTACTCCAAGGCACAAACAACACCGACATTCATCACCATCGCCAACACACACCACAACACACAATACCACATCATCAAATATTCACTAACACCAGCAACACACATCCCACACTGTGAAAAAACCATCAATCCTACAGCCCACACTAACTCACTCCATACTCTATCACATACAATAAGCAAACAACAACACACAATCACTCACACAGACACAAAACATACTCGCAACAACGCACATATCACTCACTCACTCACTCACTCACTCACAAACAAAACAAAACAAAACAAATCTCATCAAATCAAAACAGTGATACTCAGTCAATGGACACCACCGTCTGTGCAACAACAGTGGAATACTCAATCTTGCACTACCCAGTTTAGACAGAGACAAACGATCATCTCGACCTCCGGGGTGTGCTCACTACCAACCAGAAACAACAGTTACAACTCTACATCCATCTCTACTCCACAAAACTCATCACACACACACACACACACACACACACAAAACCAATACTCTCAACATATACACACATATTCGCGTATATCCACTGAATGGTTCGTTCACATCTCCAACACGTACCCCCCTTACACCACATGCATAACCCTGCATATCCTCACACAAGACAAAGCGCTATTAAACACACAATAGGCAACCTCATCAACTCCCAACAAAAGTCACCTACCTACAAACACTTCGACGCACATCATCACTACACCCACACATACACGCACACAACTACAATCCAAAACCAAAACCAAAAACAACACACACACACACACACACTACACTATACCAAAATTACCATATGTACCGTATCCACAATGCGA